TCAGGAGACAATGTGATGGCTGTAAATCCAAGGATTGTTTGCCAAATGGTTATACCATCACAATCTGGAATGGTTACTAAACGAGGCAAATGGAAAGTCAGGACTATCTACATTAAATCCAGGGGAAAAAAGCCATTTGTACTGGAGGTCATTTCCTGGAAGCCTCACAGGGAGGAAATTTGTTGTACTCAACTGGTGGATTATCTAGAACGGGCAGGCAACCTTGGCTCTTTTATGACTCGTGGACTTCAACTCCCAGAATTCCTGAGCCAGCATGGCTCAGCTTGTAAACCTCTCCCTTTCCCCTCAGCATGGCTGGCTCAGGAATTCTGGGAGTTGAAGTCCACGAGTCATAAAAGAGTCAAGGTTGCCTACCCCTGATCTAGAAGGATGTAAAGGATCATGGTGAGAAAAAACATTTTTGCTCTGATGGAGGCCTTTGGGATTATAAGCGCACACAAATGGATGGCTCCCTCCCAAATGGATGGCTTTGTGAGCTGAGCTTTTCCCAAGAAGCTGCCACGGGGAGCACAGCCACTTCTTCAAAGCCTTGACATGGTTCCTTCTAATCCTTCTCTTCGATAGCCTAGTGATCCTAACTTCCTCAACTGACCATCATACGATTTAGCGTCGACCCTTTATCATCTATGTTGATCTCTGCACTTTCCAGCGTCTCAACATCTGTTTTGTATTCTTGTGACCAGAACTGGATGCAGTATTCTAAGTGTGGTGTCACTAGTATAGTATGAAACAATACTATTAATTCTTGCTGTCTTGACACAATCCCTCTGTAGTAGTAGTAGTAGTAGTAGTAGTAGTAGTAGTAGTAGTAGTAATAATAATAATAATAATAATAATAATAATAATAATAATAATAATAATAATAATAATAAGTAGTAGTAGTAGTAGTAGTAGTAGTAGTTGGAAGGGACCTTGGAGGTCATCTGGTCCAACCCCCTGCTCAGGCAGGAAACCCTATACCAGTGGTGGCGAACCTATGACACGGGTGCCAGAGGCGGCACTCAGAGCCTTCTCTGTGAGCACGGGCGCTGTCGCCCAGTCCTAGGCCTTCAGCTGGGTTTTATAAAACCTCCGCCGCCGTGTGCAAAAAAAAAAAAAAAGGTTCAGTCGATTTCAATTTCTCACAGGAAAAAAAAAAGATCTTGCAAAGTTGGAATTGATTGATTTAACTGTTTAGTCCCACCCAGTCTGCTGTTACCACTGCAGCCATGCCCACCCAATGGGCCACGCCCACCCAATGGGCCACACCCACCCAATGGGCCACACCCACCCGGCACTCGACGATGCATAAGTGAGTTTGGGGTTGCAGTTTGAGCACTCAGTCTCTAAAAGGTTCGCCATCACTGCCCTATACCATTTCAGACAAATAGCCGTCCAGTCTCTTCTTAAAAACTTCCAGTGTTGGAGCATTCACCACCTCTGGAGGCAGGTTGTTCCACTGGTTAATTATTCTCACTGTCAGGAAGTTTCTCCTTAGTTCTAGGTTGCTTCTCTCCTTGCTTAGTTTCCACCCGTTGCTTCTTGTCCTGCCTTCAGGCGCCTTGGAAAATAGCTTGACTCCCTCTTCTTTGTGGCAGCCCCTGAGATATTGGAAGACTGCTATCATGTCCCCCCTCGTCCTTCTCTTCATTAAACTAGACATACCCAATTCCAGGAACCGTTCCTTATATGCTTTAGCCTCCAGTCCCCTAATCATCTTTGTTGTTTTGTTGATGCAGCCTAGGACTGCATTGGCTTTTTTTTGGCAGCTGGAGCATACTTGTCCACTAGTCCATTTCTCTCTTACTACTGTTGAGCCATGTACTACCTATTCCTTACCAGTGCACCTGATTTTTCCAACCTAAGTATAGGACCTTATTTTATTTACCACTGAGCTGCATTTTTTTGGCCCAATGATCAAATGTGTCAAGATCCTTCTGGATCTTGAGTCTGTTTTTTTTTTAAGTATTGGCTCTTCCCCCCAACTTGGCGTAATCTGCAAATTTCATAAGTTCCCCTTCTATCCCCTCCTGTAGATTATTTATGAAGGTGTCGAAGAGTACTAGGCCCAAAAAGAAACTTTGAGGTATCCCACTGCATGCTTCTCTCCATGCAGATGTAGCTCTATGGAGGAATATCAACTGAATGCAGTTTGTCAGTCAATTGCGAATCCACCTGGTGCTTGTTTTGTCTATCCCATGTCATTCTATCTTACCAAAAAGCAAGTTGGGGTCTACCTTGTCAAAGTCCAAGTACACTATCTCCACAACATTTTGCAGATCCGCTAATTTAGTGACTTCATCAAAAATGGTAATAATGTTTGCCTGGCATCATCTGTTTTTAAGAAACCCATTCTGGCTTCAGTTACAGCTGCCCATCATCTGTTTCTCCAAAAGCATTAGTGGAAAAACAAACAAAAGTGTGCTTTAATTAAATAACTTGTGCAATTCTCAATCTTTTAAAAGAAGGATTAAAATCAGGGAGCACAGAGCCCAGAAGAACCAAGAGGGGTCACAGGCACCTTCAAATGCCCCAAGTGCCACACTCAGGACCAACTTTCAAATTGATCAGCCAAGTTCTTCTTATGTTAAAGGAATTCATCCCCAGGTTTTTCTAAACATTTGTGTCCACTCACTGTCTCCCTCCATGGGGACTTAAACTGTCTGATGAATCTGGTTCAGAATTCAGAGAATCATCAGGGAAGTCAGACAAGACAGATCCTCCGTAATATTATGATTTTCAAAGTCTACAAACCCACTAGCACAACTAATGGCTGCTTTAAACTAGTTGTCTAGTTTTAAATGTTTTGTGTGCTGCCTGCATCCCACGGATGGGGCTTTGCTTGTTTGTGCAGACCGGTTGCTGGCATGGCACGGCCTGGTACCGGTCCATGGACCGGGAGTTGGGGATCCCTGATATAGAAGACCATCCCTGAATCTCAGAAGAATGTCAATAAAATAGATCCAGTTTAACCATTTGAATTTTTAAACTGTGCCTAATGAATTGCTGTATTTTCATAGAATTTAGGACTGGGGCAGATAGCAATGCAACAATAAATTAAGAGGCAGAAGCCTAACTGCAGCTCACATCATCAGAGGCAGAGAATGGCTGGACTGATGTACGATGGAAAATGAAATTTTAAATTTATAATCAGGAGGGAAGCGAAGCTGAGTATTAGTTACAGATTAGTTACAAAGGTGCAGAATGCACCACAGGCAGATTAAAAATTAACAATTGTAGTGTGTTAGAAACACACTGTATGTGTGGAGTCGTCATCACTGAGGAAGAGTTAGGAAATGAGTTTTACATTACCTTTTTATTATTAAATTCATTTATTATTAAACTTAATCACTGCCCATCTCGCAATTTGAGGCAACTCTGAGTGACTTGTCTTAACCTAATGTTAACAGTAACACTGACAATATGCATTGTTTTCCTTGTCAAAAGCTACTGATAATTCCAACATAATGCATTTTAAAAAATGAAACATTTTCTACCATACATTTTATTTTCTGATATTAAGGTAGCAAAACAGAGATTGTCACTCTTCTGCGTGACACTGTGGACAGTGTGGCAAAATGGCTGCCGCTTCAGCAAGTTCACTGCACGGCTCAGGGACGAATGTAGGTCCCACTGAAAATGATGGCTGCTGTTCTGTCCCCGTTCCGACCCACACACCCAAACAGCCAGCCGCGGGTTTAAAGACTTCTCCAGACACCACTTCACAGATAAGAAACTTGGCAGCAGCTCCGTAGCTGCCTGCCAAGACCTTTTTTCTCCAAACACCCAGAAACAAAAACAATACCACAGCACGCTACTTTGCCAGAGATTCAGCTTTTGTCCGTCACAGAGGTCCAAATGGCCACCACCACTCTTTTATAGCCTGTGGGGTGTGGTCCAGTGACTCAGCTTAATCTCTGGCACGTCTCTTTTTCTGCTGCGCACGCTTATTGCTCCTACACTGGCGTGGATCCAGCCACAACTTTTCTTCCTCATTATCTGACACACCTGGCTCCTGGCCAATCTGAGACACACCGGGCTCCTGGCCAATCTGAGAAACACCGGGCTCCTGGCCAATCTCTTCTCCGTCGGGAGACACCTGAGGCATTGCCAAAGAGGAGGGTCCTGGAGAGGGAGGCCTAGCCATCTCCTCTCCTTCATGTTCGGAGCCTTCTTCCTCCGATAAGAGGGGCTCACAAGACGGAGCCACAACAGCTGCTTCCAACACACAGTCATGAGGCCCAGGGATGCATGTCCTCCCCTCCTTATCCAACACAAGGATCAGATATCTTCAACAAGTAAGGAGGAGGAAGGTGTGAGGCTTGGTGGGGTGGGAGTCAGGTCTAAGGATTATGGGGATGCTGGGAGAAATGTGAGGCCTGGGGAGATTTTGTGGAGGGAAAGGCCAGGAGGATACCAAGGTTGTGAAACAGAGCACAGGGTGTCTCAGACAGCGGGGGAGGCCTAGGAATACCTACAGCAGGCAAGCCTGGCCCTGCGTTAGAATTCCAATGGTTTTCCCCAACCCTGAGGTAACAAGTGTTCCGCTTAGTGACTCACACATTCGATTAATAGCTGCATCAGGGTAGTTAAGGAAAGCTTAAAGCCATTGCAACATACAACTATAATTGCAAGACCCATGACAGTTGTATCTTGAGGACCTCTTATATGCTGGCTGGGGTATTCTGGGGCTCAAAATCTGGAGGAAACCAAGGTAGAAGATTGAAACTCCGCATGTAGGAATTTGATAATCAATATACAAAAACATCACCCGAAAACCTCTTTAAGAAATTCTGCAAAAGGAAATATTCAGTAACTGCTGCTGATAACAAGAAACTGGTAGTTAGCCTTTTTCCATTTTCCTTTTCTCTCCACCTACAAGTCTAGTCCTGAGACATGTTTGAGTAAAAAGATTCAGACCACAATTCAAATAGTCAATTTCTCATCTACATTTTCAATGAGATATCACAAATGAAATTCAAGGCCTTTTCTAAACTCTTCTACTTTTTCCTCATATGGATTTCCTTGTGTGCAATAAAGGATGATTTATGCCTGAAGTAACGACCACAGACTGGACATTTGAAAGGTTTCTCCCCCGTGTGAATCCTCTGGTGTATCACTAGGTTGGAATTCTGACTGAATCTTTTCCCACAATCCGGACACTGATACGGTTTCTCTCCTGTGTGAGTCCTCTGGTGGCTCACCAGGCTTGAATTTTCACTGAAACTTTTCCCACAGACAGGGCATTCAAAGGGTTTCTCTCCTGTGTGAGTCCTCTGGTGTTTCACCAGGCTGGAATTACGACTGAACCTTTTCCCACAGTCAAGACATTCAAAGGGTTTCTCTCCTGTGTGAGTCCTCTGGTGTATCCCCAGGTCAGAATTACGAATGAAACTTTTACCACAATCAGTACATTCAAAGGGTTTCTCTCCTGTGTGAGTCCTCTGGTGTTTAATCAGGCTAAACTTTTCACTGAATTTTTTCCCACAATCAGGGCATTCAAAGGGTTTTTCTCCTGTGTGAGTCCTCTGGTGTATCACCAGGCTGGAATTACGACTGAAACTTTTCCCACAGTCAGGACATTCAAAAGGTTTTTCTCCTGTGTGAGTCCTCTGGTGTTTCACCAGGTCAGAAGTACAATTGAAACTTTTCTCACAGCCTGGACACTGATACGGTTTCTCTCCTGTGTGAGTCCTCTGGTGTATCACCAGGCTAAAAAAGTGACTGAAACTTTTCCCACAGATAGAACATTCAAATGGTTTTTCTCCTGTGTGAGTCCTCTGGTGTTTCACCAGGCTCGAATTACGACTGAAACTTTTCCCACAGTCAGGACATTTAAATGGTTTTTCTCCGGTGTGAGTCCTCTGGTGTATCACCAGGTCAGAATTACAACTGAAACTTTTCCCACAATCAGGACACTCAAAGAGTTTCTCTCCTTTGTGAGCCCTTTGATGTTTCACCAGGCTGGAATTCTGACTGAAAGCTTTCCCACAATCAAGACATTCAAAGGGTTTATTTCCTGCGTGAGTCCTCTGGTGTCTCATGAGGTGGGAATTTGTAATGAAACGTTTCCCACAATCTGGACACTGGTATGGTTTCTCTCCTGTGTGAGTCCTCTGGTGTCTCATGAGGTGAGAATTCTGACTGAAACTTTTCCCGCAATCAGTACATTCAAAGGGTTTCTCTCCTGTGTGAGTCCTCTGGTGTCTCATGAGGTGGGAATTTCTAATGAAACTTTTCCCACAATCANTTCTCTCCTGTGTGAGTCCACTGATGTATCACCAGGTTGGAATTATGACTGAAACTTTTTCCACAATCAGGACATTCAAAGGGTTTCTCTCCTGTGTGAATCCTCTGGTGGTTCACCAGGCTGGAATTCTGACTGAAACATTTCCCACAGATAGGACATTCAAAGGGTTTCTCTCCTGTGTGAGTCCTCTGGTGTTTCACAAGGTGGGAATTCTGACTGAAATTTTTCCCACAATCAGGACATTCAAAGGATTTCCCTCCTAAGTGCGTTGTCTGGTCTATCACCAGGCTGGAATTGTGACTGAAACACTGAAAGCGCTTCTCTCCTGTGTGAGTCTTCTGGTCTATTACCAGGCTTGAATCGTGACTCAACGTTTTCCAAGAATCAGGACATTCAAATGTTTTATTTCCTCTGTGAGTCGTCTGGTGTTTCAAAAGGTTGGAATTCTGACTGAATTTTTCCCCACAATCAGGACATTCAAAGGATTTCTCTCCTTCATGAGTCCTCTGGTGTCTCACAAGGTGGCAATTTCTAATGAAACTTTTCCCACAATCAGGACATTCAAAGTGCTTCTCTCCTGTGTGAGTCCTCTGATGTCTCACAAGGTGGCAATTTCTAATGAAACTTTTCCCACAATCAGGACATTCAAAAGGTTTCTCTCCTGTGTGAGTTCTTAGGTGTCTCACCAGGTTGGAATTGTGACTGAAACTTTTCCCACAATCAGGACATTCAAACGTTTTCTCTTCTGTATGAGTCTTCTGATGTATCACCAATTTGCCATGCTCACTGAAGCATTTACTGCATTGGGGGGACTTGTAGATCTTCTTTCCTGTGTGGGTCCTTCCATGAACCACAACGGAGCTGTTCTGACCAAAGCTTTTGCCAAATTTGGAGTATTTGTATGGCTTTTCTCCAATGTGGATCCTCTGATGCATAATGAAATTTGCAAGTTGTATCTTTCCCACAATAGGCACATCTATGGAACCTTCCCACAACTTATATTCTTGAGGACGTCAAAAATATGGATGGTCCCTTCTTTAGTCGTGCTTTGATTCAAGCTGTTTTCTTCCTCCCAGAGTGAGACCTGCATTACTGTCTGCCCAACATGGCTGTCCAATCTATCTTTTCCTTTGCAATGATTTCCAGACAGTTCCCTCTTTTGCTGAATGATAAATAATCTCCCTTGACTTTTCATGTAACATATCCTTGAGTTCTGTATACTCTACTTATTCCAGGTTGAAACCTTTCTTAGTTTTCTCTTTTGTCTATCAGCTGCTGGAGAAGGATTGTTTGTTTTTCTGAAGGAAATGAAAAATACTTTGATTTCTGGTTCAATTTGCTTTCCTTTTCAAAGTTGCTTGTTAGTCTCAGTTGTCAAGAGTGCTCTTATTGCCATCCTCTTTGTCTACAGGATTCAAAGAAAAGTGTATCTTTGTTTATAAAATGGTTGCAGAAGATATGAGAAAGAAAAAGTATACATTACAACGAAAAAGCAAACATACCAGAATGCTAGAATAATCTCTTACATTAATTATGATTCATTTGACACATGGAAAATTACCAAGATCCAAGTTCAAATATCAATTAAATCATGAAATTCTCTTGTTGCCTTGGGTCAATCACAAATTTTTAACAATGCAAAGGGTTATCATCAAATATATCTGGAAATGCTGGGGATAGATTATACACTTGTAGATACAGGCATATAGAGATACACCTACCTACACATGTATATATGAAGAAAATCTATGTCTTTCAAGCCTGACAAAATGTCCCAAAATGGTTACAGTCAAACCTCCTGAGCTAACTTTAGAGATGTGGGGGCTTTAGCTGCTGAAATGATGCTTAAAGCCTCAGCAAGATTTGAAGCACCAGCTTTGCCCATGGAAGTCCTCAGCTGCAAATAAGGACAGAAAATACTGCCCACAAGTACTATGGTGACATCCCAACTCAAGCAGTGCTCACTTACGAACCACATTTGGAACTGATATCTCTGTCACTAAGAAGCCCAATCATTAAGCATGATGTCACATGACAGAGCCAACTTATATCTGTTCCTCTGCCATTGTTAAGCAAATTACTGTGGGCTGTTAAGGGTANCAAATAAGGACAGAAAATACTGCCCACAAGTACTATGGTGACATCCCAACTCAAGCAGTGCTCACTTACGAACCACATTTGGAACTGATATCTCTGTCACTAAGAAGCCCAATCATTAAGCATGATGTCACATGACAGAGCCAACTTATATCTGTTCCTCTGCCATTGTTAAGCAAATTACTGTGGGCTGTTAAGGGTAATTTCACATGACTGCGACTTGCAAATCCCTGCCGGCATCCCCATTGATTTTGTTTGTCAGAAGCTAGCTGGGAAGGTCACAAATAGGGAATATGAGTGTGGGATACTGCAACCTTCATAAATGTGCCCCAGTTGGCAAAACTCAAATTAGTGCAATTCCTTTTCCTGCACCTTGATAACCATAAGAACTGCTGATGTGTGGTCACTGAACAAGAGCTATGATGACCACAAATTTGTGTTGCCAGGTGTAAGTCTGCTTTTACACTGACATTGTAACTTTGAAGGCTCAGGGAACAAATGGTGAGGACTTCCTATAAAAGTGAACATCCTGAGAGGTCCTCAATAGTTATTTTTTTAAAAGTGCTGGGTTAAGAACAGTTGAACCTGGTTAATACACGGATGGGGCACCAATATGTGGTTGTTGGCGATACATGGAAATAAAAAAACGAAAATCCCAGAAAAGACCAGTGCCAGATCAGTACAATATTGTTGCCACAAAACCAGCAAGTCCACAATAGAATAACAGAGCTGGAAGGGACCTTGGAGGTCTTCTAGTCCAATCCCCTGCTCAGGCAGTAGACCCCATACCATTCTGGACTAATGGCTGTCCAATCTCCTCTTAAGGGTTCCTCACGAATCTATGTGACAACTTTGTCATCCAAAAGAGAGGAGGGAACTAGGGGGTCTACTATAGTGATCTAAAGTCTTACTAGCAGAGATGAAATGATAGAGGGATGTTGAAATGTCACAAACTTTGGAGGGTGAGTAACTATGTCATACTGGAATTCAATATAATACAGACCACAAGTAACAAAACAAAATCAAACTAGTTATTATAATTTAAAAGAGCTGGTGTCAACAAACTTAGAGACAGGTTGGGAAGAATTTCATTGGATGAAAATCCTAAAGGGGAAGACAACTCAAAAAGGTTGACAAACTCTGAAAAATATGATTACAAAAGCCCATGCAACACAATATTCCCCTGGCCTCAGATTGGAGCGGCAGCAGGAACCGCAGCAGAGAGGAGACAGACCTTTTCCAGGTGAGTCCCGCACGGCAGGGAGGGAGGGGGAAGCATGAGAGCATTAAGTGAACGCTCATAACTCGGGGATTACCTGTACTCGCGCTGGCAGCTTAGAAAAACCGGTTCTTCTGTTTAAAAAAAGGTGCTGGAACGCCGTTCCATGCATTCTATGACAAAAAAAGCACTGGATAAAACCAAACTTGGAATAACGCATCCAGCTTTGGCCACCATATTATACAAAAGATGTTGAGACACTGGAAAGGCTGCAGAAAAGGTCAACAAAGATGATTAGGAAGCTTGAGGCTAAGACATATAAAGAATGGTTGTAGGAACTGGGTATGTCTAGTCTAGTGAAAAGAGGAATTAGGGATGACAGGATAGTAGTGTTCCAATACTTGATTTGCCATAAAGAAGAGGGGGTCAACTTATTTTTCAAATCACCAGAAGGCAAGACAAGAAGCAATGGATGGAAACTAATCAAGGAGAGAAGTAACCTAGAACTAAGGAGAAACTTCCTAACAGTGAGAACAATTAACCAGTGGAATGGCTTGCCTTCAGAACTTATGGGTGCTCCATCACTGGAGGCTTTTAAGAAGAGACTGGACAGCCATTTGCCTTAAATCACAGGTGTCAAATTCGCCACGTCACGAGATGTGTCACAACTTTTTTTGCAATGCTAGAGCTAAGGTGAGCGCGGCCTCTATATGATGCAACCGGCCCATGGCCGGCAGTTTGACACCCCTGCCTTAAATGATATTGGTTCTCCTTCTTGAGCAGGTAGTTGGACTAGAAGACCTCCAAGGTCCCTTCCAGCTGTTACTCTGTTACAAACCTCCAGCAATGAAGCACCCACAACTTCTGGAAGCTAGCCATTTCCAAAGAATCAATCTTCACTTGAAGGAGACTATTTAAATCTTCCCACCAGCAGAAAATTGCAGCCGAGTTTCAAACCAAGCAGCTCCATTGGACTTAAATTTGAGGAAGGAAGTAACATGCAGCTGCTGCTGCTGCAGCAGCTGACATGCTTCAGCCTAATTGCTTCTCTGCTTCCATGCCATGGAGGGAACCAAACAGCCCCATTTGCTCCCAACCTCTCCTCTGACCTATCCTCCATTCACTTTCCAGCTGCTGCTTTGATCCTTGGAAGAGCACAAATGCCACTCAGCAAATCATCTTCCTCCCATGAGTGATCCAGAAGAGGAAGTTCTGTTGTCCTTAAGGTGCTTTTTCAAGAGCAACTGGACTTTCTTCTACTCTTCTACTCTCCTCCCCTCTGTTCTAGGAATTGTTTTCAATGGTTTTAACTCATTTAACACTGCCACCTACTATACTGCTTTTTAGGCAGATTTGACAGCTATGAGACCTGTTGGCTCAGTGGTTAGAATGCAGTACTGCAGGCGGCTACTGCTGGCAGTTCGATTCTCATCGGCTCAAGGTGGACTCGGCCTTCCATCCTTCCGAGGTTAGTAAAATGAGTACCCAGATTGTTGTGGCAATATGCTGACTCTCTAAACTGCTTAGAGAGGGCTGTAAAGATCTGTGAAGCGGTATATAAGTCTAAGTGCTATTAATATTGCTATCTTGATAGGTGGCGGAAAAACATGCTTGTCCCATTTACAAGATCTTTTCACTGATTAAATGCTATCAAATCATTTTTGACTTCTAGAAAGTGACCCAAGTGAAATAGTGAAATGTGATGCTATTTACTTTATGAAAATTAGCTATGTGCTGAGCCCTAAAACTTCAAGATGTTTTTACAGAATTACAAAATCAGCTTTCTTAGGGGTGACTTTCAGTAGAAATCAAAGCCTCTTTACATCCAAAATCTTTATGATTGATTTCTTGTGGTTCCCAAGGATTTAGGACATGGCAGCACTATCAGGGGAGATGCTACAGGGGAGCCATCTTCACTCCTGCTGGTCAGGCTGCATGGAGAAGCACTCTCCACTCCACTTCATTCCTGAAGGAGGAAATTTTATATCTGCTAACTGCCAAATGCCATGTACTTCTGTAAATTCGCTGGCACAGGGGTTTCCATTAGGTCACAGTGGAAGAATATGCAGCAGGGCCTAGAAAATGGTGACTAAGAAAGAGGGGGTGATTGCCAATTTATGACAAAAAGAAACGTTTGCAGAAAACATTATTTTTTAAAAAAAGGGAAAAATAGAATACCTCATCAAAGCCAGGCTAACCTTTTTAGTGGGACACCCTGCACTGCCATTTGTAATCTAGATTTAATAAGGTATGGGTGGTAATAGTGGCCATTTCAACTTGGCTCTAAGCTCTGTTGCATGGAGGACATTGAAATAAAATAACCCCACCATATATTTTATTGATTCCCTTTTCATTCAGGAACTCAAGATCGCATACAAAGCACTTCCTGTGTGGCAAGCTGTGATTTACAGGCTAAATGCCCCCAAACAGCCTGCCTACCTACTGAGACATACTCTTTGCCTCTGAGTATTCCATAGCTCCTAACCTAACACTGAAGTATAGCTCATAGCTTTCCATACAGTGCCCTTAGCCTTACCCCAGATGTTTGTTTTTGGTGCCTTAGGTCAGTCAAGGGGTTTCCCCCTTTCCTGCTTCCTAGGCCTGATAGTAGCCAAAAGT